CTCCAGGACAGATTCTGAAGCAATTAGTTCTCCATAGCCTCCGACAAGTAATTCTGCCTCGAACATTAGAGAATTGAGCTCTTCTGGTTGTTCGGTTTGAAAAAAGTGAGACTTCTTAAATTCGCTTTTGGTAATAGAATCCAGGATATAAATTACTCCATAGGGATTGAAAGCTTCGAGTGCCGAACTGAGGGCGCGTTAAGCGACTTCATATGTGATGTCAATTAATCAAATTTGATAGAAAAATGCTCACACAATTTCGAATATTGAAGGTAAACCAACCTGTTTGAGGATTCGTTGGTAATCGTTTGGATCGCAGAGAACAGAAACTCGAGCGTGATTCTTCGCTGCTGCTCTCAGCAATGTCACACCTCCTGAAAATTCTCATCTTTAGAGAAAATTCGCGAAAACGAAGGAAATTTCAGCTGACCGATGTCGATATTCTCAACTGCCTCCTCTAGGGTACAGTTTGGATTGGCGATAGTGGCACGGAACGGGTACAAGTTGCAGACAACAACGTCTATGTACTTGAAGTGATTCTCCTGTAAAGCCATACGTGTGAACAGCAATAAGGCTGCATTTATACTTTGCGGCAGCGTAGCGTAGCGCTTCCAGCGTTACGCTGGAAGCGCTACGCTACCCTGCCGTATAAACGCAGCCTAAGGATTTTGCCTTAAGGCACGCCAATGTTGAGTAAAATACTGTGTGTAAGTCAGGGATAGGCGGTTGCAGTCAAGGATGTGTGGTTGTTAAAGGTCTGTAAAGGGATCTGTGAGGTTTGCGAGCAGGGCACAGCATCGTGATGTGTGAAATGATGGTGCCAGTACGAACCAAACCACCCCTCTCGAGGGAGGGTCTTGGTACGAGCCCCGCCCCCTTCCCCAGCACCCACCACATTCTCACCTTTTCCACCCAGAGGTTCTCCGCCGTGGAGCTGGGATTATATAGCCAAGTGAAACGAGAAAATTTCTTGGAATTTCCTCCAATTTCCTACCACTTTTCCCGGAATTCCCCAAAATTTCCCTACTTTCCCCACAAAATTTTGCTGACGAGCGGGGATGGGGGAGGAGGGGTGGAGGGAGGGGGGTAAATAGTACACATGAAACAGGAAAAATCACGAAAAGTCAACAACCGGAAAAAAATTTTTCCAACGCGGCAAACTTCTCTCAAAGCCACATACGACCTCCCCCCATTCCCAGCCGAAAAGTACGACCCGCCTATGTGTTTCGCACAACGATGCTGTACACTGTTTGTGAGAGAACAAGGAATTTGACGTTCATATCTCTAAACAAGGCGGATGGTGGTGTGGTAACAAAGAGCGCGCTTACCACTCGCGCGTTCCTGCCGCCCAGGCCCAACCT